TATAAAGTCCAAAAACATTATTCAAAAACCTTTTTTCCACAAAATTTACTAAACATCATCCTGCTGCTTTTTTCCTCATCTCTTACTTTCTAAAATACTCTTATTACACTTTAAAAATCATTTTCTTATTTTATCTTTCATCTGCCTACCTGAAAGGAATCCCGCTTGTCGTATTTAAACATTTAAAGACCTTTTTCACTCTATTAGCTTAAAAAATGTTAGCAAGATATCTTGTAAATCATTGTTCAAAACTGAAATAGGGCCTATATTTTTTGACCAAGGTAAATCTGTATCTTGTATTGAAATCAAAGGTAATACTAGCTTGCTTCCATGTTTCTCGAATTCCCCTTTTTGTTAAATTTCATTTGCATTATATTCTTTCATTGGATTTACAAGGTTGTTTCTTTAAATTTTTATTGTACTTTGCTGATAATCCATCTGTTCCTGGTGATTTGCCCACCTTTATTTGCCTTATTGGCCTCGGAGATTTCTTGCGTCTGTTACTTGTGTATTTAAGAATACTATCTCTTCTTTGTTTCTATCTTTGGCAGTTTACTCTTTTTATATTATTCCTGTATGTGCTTGCCTTTTCATTTCCCCTCTATTTGTATAAAATTTTGAAAATATTTTTTTTAAAAAGGCTTCCCTATTTCTTTTTTTTAACTATAAATTTGCCCATTGGAATGGAATTTTACTCTATATATATATAATTCATCTGTTGATTTCTCCTAATTGCCATGCTAACAACTTTCCGGGGTTTGATTTGCATGCGTCAAAGAATTTTGGCTTCATTTTTTAACTTCCATTGCTATTTCTTCATTGATTATTCATTGAAATGCTGCTGATTGTAATCATTTTCTTGCCTGTTTTATCAATTGTTTATTAGGTTTTTTCCTAATTCGCTTTCTTCTTTGATATGGCATCCAAAATTTCTTTTTCTTTTGCTTTCCCTGCTTCTGCTCTCTTTTTTTTAAACAGCATTTTGTTGTATTGAAATTGACGCTCTCATGACACGTGGGACCTAGGTACATATGTCAGGGGTTTCAGGGAGAGAGGCACAGTGAGGAGGAGACTGAAATAGAAGAGCGAGGGGGAAGAAATCCAGGAACGAGGAGGAGGACAATGACTTGAGGTTTTCCATGAGTCTTTCAAGTGAATCGAGGATTCCAAAAGGGGCGCCCCTGTCAGGCCAAGGGGAAGCCACAGGGGGGACTCGTCAGGAGCAGGGGAGCAGCAGGGAAACCCGAGTGGGGAGTTCCGTGAGATCGGCGGCCGGCTTCCCCCGCCGGAACGCGAGTGAAGAGGGTGGAGAATTTCCCAGTGTGACACACGGATTCCAGAGCTAGGAAGCAGAGAGGGGAAGGAGATCCGGCAGACGTCTGCCGGATAGGGCGCGAGAAGTACAGAGAGTAGGTAACTGTCAAGAAGGAAGGTCAGGGGTAGCGAACGCGCTTCCAAGTTTCAATGTGGAGCGCGCCGCGGGAAATTTGGCGCGAGACCCGGAGGAGTGAGCCTGTCCCCAAAGCACGGAGGAGGGGGGAACCAGGACGTCTGGGGACTCAGCGTCAGGGGAAAAGAGGAGGGAAGGAACCCAGGGGGCAGAAAGACCACTGCGAAAAGGAAGACAGGAAGGGTGGAAACCAGCCACAAGCCTCTGTAAACTAGTGTAGAGGCAGGGACTGATTCAGAGGGACTCAGCGTCTAAGCGTAACAGGACGTGGGGCTGCTGCGCCTCTGCTGCTGGAACAAACAATGTTACTTTCAATAAAGACTTTTTGTAATAAAGTGGACTGCGTTGGGTCTCTTGTGAAGCTGGGACCTAGGCGCCCTGACACATTGCCTCCAGGTTTACAGGACTCTGCATAAAACCAGAAAATATTACCTCGGGTTAAGAACTTTACTTCAGGATGAAGACAGAAAATTGCCACGGCGCAGCACAGCGGCTGCAGGAGGCCCCATTAGCTTAAAGTGGTGCTTCAGGTTAAGACAGTTTCAAGGTTAAAGAACGACCTCCGGAACAAAATGAAGTATTGTAACAGAGTACACTGCTACTTTACAAGCATTCCATACAATTTTGATTTTTGTTTCCTTTAGGTAATAAACTAAACAAGCTTGAAAGACAACGTTCCACAAATCAGTCGTGATGATTTGTACAGTGTTTTGAATTAAACAGAACCTCCTTGAAGGCTTTCATCCATAGATATCTCTCTCTCTCCTACAGTGATTGTGTTTATGGGCCTACAGGATATTTCGTCTGAAATTGGGGAAATAAATTCACTGAAGACAGATTTACCTATGCTTTTTTCATATGACACAACTTTTCAACTAGGAGACTTCGTTCCTATCTACTTTACTATTTCAAAATGTGCTTTTCGCTGAATCACCACTGATTCCTGTAATGTTCAAGATGCATGACAGCAGGCGAGAAGGACAATCACAGAGACCCTTTCAAGCATGTCCATTTCCTCAATTCAGAAAAAGTTTGTCCTAGGTGTCTGACAGAGAAAAGGAATTGAAAAGGCTTTGGATTTCATGTTTGCTCAAGAGGCACAGAGTGGTGTGCATCTGGAATCACATCCCAGAGACATCGTGGCCAGCTTTCAGGAGGATACCAAGGTAATACCTTTTGCTGACTTTTTTGATCTATCTGAGGTCAAATTCTGAGCAAAGACGACACATTCAAATTTGAAACTCAGGACAGGTTGGGAGCAAAGCATCTTTGGACTACTTTAAGGACAAACTGCCACAAGCAATAATAACTCATGCTGGGCCTGGATTCTAAAGAGACCTGAACATATATAAAGAAAAAAGTGGGGAATCACCACAAATGTCTCCTGAGAGTTTTCATGCAGCATTAAAAAGACTTTCACAATGGAAAGAAATGACGATGGAAAGCAATTGGTGTTATCCTTAATGCAATGTGCAAAATTTTACTGGAGGAGAAACTTTGTGTGAGACTATTGCTATGTAACACTGGAAGCTTGCATTGCCAGACCTCAGACTACTCAAGATCGCCAGAACATACCAGTCTTTCCTTATATAGGCTTGTGATCCATTTCAACAAATCCTTGGATCTTGTACAAAGGGGAGCACTTCCGTTTGGTCCTAAGAAGAGAAAACCTATGAGAAAGGCCACCATCCAGTTTGTCCAAATACCGGGTTACTAGCGGCTTTACGGTACTGAACAATTTAATAGCTTGGAGGCATTTGTTGGTAAGGGTATTAAAGGAAGCATTATGTTGTCCCCTTTTCCCCGAAAGAGAGCTGCTCTGCCCATTCATCCAGGATTGCTACCATATTAATAGCTGCCCAAAAAAATCTGTAACGGCATGCCACCAGAACCAGGAAGCCTTGCCGGTTGCCAGCTCACACAGTTGAAGCAAAATAAAAGGCAGAAGAGTAGCTCAGGAAGAACAGTTCTCCAGACTGAAGGAGAAGATAACTGTGTTCAGCATCTGAATCATGCAGGCTGCTGAGGAGCTGGGACTCTTAAAAAAGAAGATCACTGACTGACTATGAGAGACCTGAAAGCCACTTCAACCTCAGATGAACCTCCACTCAAAAAAGTGGGGAAAGAGGATTTGACAGTGACCAAATTTGATTCTTTTGATAGAAAGCCCATATTCTCAACTGCAAAGTGAGAAGTATTTGGGCAAACCAATGATTTCTACATCATTTCCCCCATGGCACAACTGTACCTTCAACACACTCAGTCTACAAACCGAGTTAACTTGTGTTCCCAGTTGCCAACATCTGTGTGTTGGTTATGACATAGACACACTGAAAGGATCAAACTGGATAAATGACCACATAATAGATGCCTTCTTGCCTCCAGGGTGATCATGACCAAAGAGCTAGGTCACGATGGAACAATTTTCCCATTTAGTTGCCTCTTCATTCAGGAGGAATGGGTGTGGAGTGAACCCACCGCACCCGGCACCACCATTCTGTTGAGGTGCCATTGCGGCCACCCCCGCGCCGGACACATGCCGCGCTCCCTTGGCGCGCTAGGCGCCACGTCCCCCACTGGCGGCACAACCACGTCTCCAGGATGCTCGCCATGCCCCCAGGATGCACACCACACCCCCACGTGCAGTGCACCATGCCCCCGGGACTCACTCCATGCCTCCTGGGATGCGCACAAGCCACGGCACTCACCTGCTCTCTGCCCCCAGTGCCAGAGCTTGCAGCTTCGCTACTGAGTCCACCACTCATAACCGCCACACCACACCTGAAGTGCCTTTTCCAGTTGTCAAAAATGCCCTGTTGTTATCATTTTTGAAACATTAGTGTTATGATGGCACCTAAAGCCTGAAATATCTTCCTAAAAGATCAGATAAATGTTTAGGGAAAGTTGTTTATGAAAGGAGGAATGAAGAATGTAAGTTCAGCATCTAATTCTCTGCATTATGCTTTCAGGTGTGATGAGCATGTGGACAGACAGAGGAGAAGGCTGCATGAGGCTGCTAGTTAATTGCAGGATGACCTCTGCAAAAGAAAGTTGTGCATATTTGATCTTTGTGACTGTTCAGTAAATGTTTAAATTATAGTTTTTAAATATCGAACCCAAGCTCTGACTTTCTCAGTTCTCCTATCATCTGTGTGTATCCTGCTAGTTCTATCCATTTCTCCTTTCTTTTTTTTAAAAAATATATTTATTGAAGTTTTCAACATTTTACAAAAATAAGAAAAGGAAAAAAAAGAAAAAAGAAAAATACAAAGTAAAAACAGTTAAAAACAGATCAGTTTTTCCAAATCTTATCTTTCATTTGCTCGTTTCCCTGACCTCCTCACACCTCCCTTTTTTGTATTCCAGTTCAATTAGTTAATTCAGCAAATCCTTTCCCTCTTTGATTTTATCTTAATCTTTTATCTTAATATATTATAGCCTTATATTATCACCTGTTAACAAACCATTTTACATATTCCTTTATAACATTGCTACTAAAAACCGCTTAACTTCAATCCAACATCATTCTAACATTCATTGATTTTGCAGTGTTTCTGTAAATAGTCTTTAAATTTCTTCCAATCTTCTTCCACCGACTCTTCTCCCTGGTCTCGGATTCTGCCGGTCATTTCCATATCCATTTCTCCTTTCTCTTGGCACAAATGTATATAAAATTATACAGGAAAATGTTAAATGATCAGCTTTAATTCAGTGTCTCTGTCTCTACCTTTCTGTGCAATTGTTCAGAAATGTCACTAAGAAAGCTCTATATATTGGCATGGTCTCTTTTATTGGAATAATTTCCCAAAGTTAATTTTAAACGGGTACATAAGACCAGTGGGCCAGAATTTTTGTCCCAATAATATTTTTTTCCTGTGGCCATCACCAAATCTTCATGCATGTAACTTCACAGTTTCATCTCTCATGGAATAAAGTGGTTTTTCCTTTCGCTGGGTGCCCCTGAGGTCAGTATTTTGGGAGAGTGACGAAAAGTTCTCTCTAACCACTTTATCTTATTTAATTTTCTAACCTCTATCGTGTTTGCTACCCTCTTATATAGACCTTTTATAGACTGAACATTTCCAAACCCTTCAGCCTTTTCTCAAAGGAAAAGCACTGTGCCCCCTTAATCATTTGGTTGCCCAATTCTAGATGTAAGAGCAATCTGGTTGCCACATCTATCACCCTGTTGATCACCAGGATTGATCTGGCTGATCAGAGGGGCAAGGAATGTGTCTGCCATCCCCATCACTGTGCACCCCCCCCAAGCCACACACTCCATGTAAGAGAATGACTATCCCACACAGAGCGAGAACACCCTCTTCTGCACTTTTTCCAGCTATGCCATATTCGTTTTAGAGAGATGGCACCCAAAACTGTACACAGTGTTCCAAATGGGACCACACTATAGAACTGTACAGGGACATTACAATACTGACCGTTTCATTTTCAGTTCCTTTTTCAATAGTCTCCAGCACTAATTCCAGATCACAAAATGAATAAATGAAATAATAGCGGTTCTGATCCTTGTGGGACCCAACTGCTCACTTTCTTTAACTTTTAACATGGCCTTGGCGATTGGAAAAGCCACAGCACCCAGGAGATCCTCTGAAAGCCCAAGTTGCCCCAACTTTGTGCAAAACAGTTGTAGCCCTGGAGAAGGGAAGGGAAGGGGTCTGACAAAACTTTGCTAAGTAAAGTATCTTTGTCTGCTGAAAAACAAATGTTTAGCCAGCATAAAAGAAAACTCGTCCAGGCAACTGTCTCTAGCTTCTGTTGGCTTCCCTCTAGACACAACAAGGCTGCGTAAGGTACACAGTGTGGGACAGCGAAAATCTTCAACAGAAAGGCTGCCTGCACTTGTTCCACTGACTGGGTAAACCCTGACATCCAGACTGAAATTCCATAGAGCAGTTTGGCTCTAACTTTAGCATTAAAAACTTTGAGGGCAGAAGGGATGTGTTGGTTTCCTCTTGTTGCAAAAAAGTGCAATATGGCCTGCATAAACAGCTGGCTGGCATTTATCGCCCTTGCGCTGTGTGAGGAGCACTGGAGCCTGTGATGGAAAGTGATCCCCAAACAGTTGAATCTGAATACCTGCTGGATATGTTTCCCACCAAAAACCCAACTATATATCTTACGAGAATTCCCGAAGACCATTATTTTGCTTTTATTGAAGTTCATGCTCATTTTCATTCTAGACAAATAGTAGATACAGGCATTTAGCAAATGCTTTAAGCCAATTCTAGTTCATGAGAGCACAATCATATCATCTGCATATAGAAGAATGGTAATTTTTGATACATTTACTTTACGGCTGTGAACATCCACCAGTTTTAGTAATGGGGCGAGTTCATTTAAGCACAGTGGACCAACACCAGCTGATGGCATGGCTCCTCAAATCAACATTTCACACTGGACTTCAAGCATCTGGCAATGTGTGCCTCCCCATTCTTCCTCCAGATTCTGGGTCCTTGGTTTCCAAATGAGATGGAAAAGTTGCTCCTATCAGAAAAGAGGACATGGGACCACTGAGCAACAGACCAGTTCTTTTTTTTCTTTAGCCCAGGCAAGATGCTTCTGACGTTGTTTCTTGTTCAGGAGCAGCTTGACAAGAAGAATACATTTGAAGCCCATCTGCAGGATCCATCTGTGTATGGTGGCTCTTGATGCACTAACTCCAGCCTCAGTCCACTCCTTGTGAAAGTCCCCAGCATGTTTGAATGGTCTTTTCCTGACAATCCTCTCCAGGCTGTGGTCATCCCTGCTGCTTGTGCAACTTTTTCTTCCACACTTTCCCCTTCCGCATAACTTTCCATTAATGTGCTTCGATACAGCACTTTGGGAACATCCAACTTCTTCTGCAATTACCCTTTGAGACCTTCCCTCCTTATGGAGGGTCTCAATGACGGCTTTCTGCACAACTGTCAGGTCAGCAGCCTTCCCCATGATTGTGCTTCCTACTGAACCCATTGCAGGTGTTATGGATTGAATAGCTGCACCTTTTCACAATATTTTAATTTTCTGAGATTGTTAATTTGAGGTTTTTATCAGCTGTACCCTATAATCATCACAATTATAACAAATAAAGGATTGACATATCTCGCTTTGTATGTCATGAGTCTATCTCATATATTAGTTTCACCTTTTAAGTTGAATTACTGAAATAAATTAACTTTTCCACGATAATCTAATTTTCCAAGTTTCACCTGTACATATTTTGTTCCCTATGGCAAGGAGTGCTAGGATGGGAAGCATCCATGTAATCCACCTTCTCTGAGACACACACCAGTGATGCATCAGAGGAGCACTTCGCTTCATTTAGTTCTTAAGGGGGAGAGATAGAGAAAGAGAGAGAGAGAGAGAGAGACAGACAGAGAGGTTGCATTGGAAGTAAGCAGGGACACCGCAGGGGCTTGAACCCCGTCCTGGAAACCAGGAGCGCCAACCACCAGCGTCTTTTGCTTTTTTTTGGCCAATGCAACAAGGTGAAAAGCAAAACCTGAGAGAACACTCTGAATACAGAATGTTCTCTCAGGAAAAAAGAAAACCCTTAAGAATTATGAAGCTGCAGACAGAACACAATCGAGGTTTTATCCCTTGCCATTAGCAAGGGATATTCACCTAGATATGTTTACGTCACAGAGTGCCATGTTGACTGCCATTCATTTGCAGGGCAGAACAGAGAGACTGGTTCCAGTCTTCAAACTCTGCCTTTATGCTCACCTTTTTGTTTGTCCCTCTGAAGTGTGAATTCATGGGCCTGGAAGTTCCTTCTGCTGGTCTGCGAAAAGCAATCTGGACTCATTAGTTTGTCCCCGGCCCTTTCCCGCCAATTCCAGAGAAATGTTTTTGGAACCCAGCTGTTCTGACTGACCTGACTTCTGCAGGAAGAGCTGGCTTCCCCTGAGTGTGGTGGGCTCTTGGACAGAACTGTGAAGAGATCAAGCGGGGGGAAATGGAGAAGCCAGCCCAAAAGGATTGTACTGAAAAAGTTCACTGAATTGTGGAGTGTGAAGTTCACTTGCCGTTAAGTTTCCTGAAGGCTTGCAAAATTCTATTTCTTGTGTCACTGAGATGCACCTGGAAGAGACTAGGGTCTTCAGCAGCCCTCCCCTCCAGACACAGGAGCAAAAACAGCCGGTTACCTAAAGCAGCGCAGTCAAGACGCAGGTGTCTCTCAATCCTGCACTGCAGATGTTCACCTGATGGATCAAAAGCTCTGACACTGCCTTTTGTCAATGGAGCAGATCTGCCTCCGGCACAGGTAGCTCTCTGAGGTCTGTAAAAAAAAAAGCTGGAACCAAACAAGGATGGCCGTCCCACCAAAAGATGTACCTTATTGTGTGGTGATGGCACAGGAAAGGGCCTCCCCTGCAGTGGTGTCCCGACAAGAGAAGTCCCTCCAGGTAGAAGCACGCAGAGTGACTGCATTAGGCTTTCGAGTTTGCAGCTCTTCTGAAACAGGGATTGAATAACCAATGTTGCTCAATACAAGCTCTTTGGAATATTTAGTTTGCATATTTGATGTATGATTCCACTTAGAGCCTACCTTTTCTCCAACAGGCTCAGGGTGCTTGAATGGTCCCCCTCACTGCGACCTGAAAGAATCTTTGTACAAAGAGTTGCAGGCAGAACACAACAGAGATTTTCCCCTCAGCCAAGCACAAGATACTCACCTTCAGCCAGAAGACACACAACTTTATTGCTGCTATGATTACGATAGAGCATATAGAGATTACTTGTTAGTTATTAGTGCCACCTCTGATAATTCAAATGTTTTATTAACAGAAGCTACGATTGCAGTTGAAGGTAACCAAGTGAGAGGTTACAGGCAATAAGCAGTTCACTACAGCAGGTTTAAAAATATATTACCTTTGGAACAGAAGTACTGGTGAGGATCCTGATTTTTGTATTTGTTGGAAACCCAGCAACTATCAACCCTATTGTGCAAGTTTTCACAAAAAAGCCAGTAATACCATCTGGGTCAAATTAAATTTCGAATAGTCTCAGCATTTATGGATCATGTTCCCTGCATTAAACAATCATACATGTACCCCAGGCAAAGAAAATTGGGAGCTACATGCCTCCTTTATCTACAGGATTGAAGGGTACAGACCTCTATTCCAAAATGTTTCACAAATGTGGGTTATTATGATTTTGTGTGGCCCTCTCTGGTCATTAGTGGAACAATCAGCCACCCCCTTATGTATGAGTAAAAATGGCCAGAGAGTTGGGATTCATAAGATTTCAAATATTTTCTCAGTCATTTCAGCCTTACCATTAGCAGAAAAAAATTCTGCCCTTTATGTACAGGAAAAAATGGTCACGGCTCATCCTTCCTAATTGTGAATATGTTTGTGCTTAAATGTTTGCTGGACTTTTTTGCTTAAAAATGGCTGGCAAAATGGTGAAAACCTCTACTCACTCCAAGGCCTCTACCAGGCCACCTCTCCCATTGCCATCAGTAGATTCACCCTCAAAATGCCTTAGTTACAGATAGGTAGTCGTGTTGGTCTGCCATAGTCAAAACAAAAAAAAATTCCTTCCAGTAGCACCTTAAAGACCAACTAAGTTAGTTCTTGGTATGAGCTTTCGTGTGCATGCACACTTCTTCAAAATGCCTTATTTGCTTTTTCACACTGAAATCAGCAAGGCAACTGTTACAGCAAAAGAAGCAGTTTGATGCATCAGCTTTTAAAATGGGTATTCTAAATACCTAAATACCCCTGGGAACAGAATTACTGGCGAGGATGCAAAATGCTGGCATGTTTGGAACCTTCTGGATTTATACACTTCGGAAGGAACAAAAACTCAACAATATTTTGGTGACCCTCTTCTGCAGTTGCCCAGTAAGTACAATTTGTTTGGCTTCAGATGCCCAATGCCACAACTTTCAAGCCTGCTGCTCAAGAGGGCTCATTATTCTACTCCTTGGAAGCCACAATATACATAAAATTAAGTTCTGCCCATTAGCGAAGGAGCTTACCTATAGTCCCCTAGAAGCTATCATAAAATGGCTGCAAATCATTTTTGTCAACAAGGCAACCTGAGCTAAAATTACATTAAATGGAACTGTGTTGTCTTCTGCGCCTCTGCTTTGCTCTTTATCACATGCACAGCTTTCTTTCCCTCTGGATCCCCTAGATCCCCCTACCCTTCTCACTTCTAAGTCTTACCTGTCTTAAAATCTTACCCGTCTTGGTTTTTCCAACTTCTGGAGCGAGGTTCTGGAGCGAGTGGTTGCAGACCAGATCCAGGTGCCCTTGGAAGAAGCTGAATATCTGGGTCCATTTCCATCAGGGTTTAGGCCTGCTTTTGGCACAGAAACGGCCTTGGTCACCCTGCACCTGTCGAGAGACAAGGGAAGGCGCTCAGTGACCCCCAGTGCCCTCCATCAGCTTCAGCTGGTGGCCCAGTTGCGCCCCTCTCTGGACAGGGGTAGCCTGACTCCTGCTGTCTCTGCTCTGGAAACCCGTTCTTGGGTCGTTCTTGTTTTGATTTGGTGTAGTTGATATTTTATGTGAGCCGCCCTTAGACCTTCGGGTATAGCGCAGTATAGAAATTCAATAAATAGTAACAGTAATGATAATAATAACTTCGGCAACAGAAACGCCAGCCTTCTTTTTATGAAATGGCTTCTCCAGTTGCCTTTTAAAAGAAAAGCCTTCTATTTTCTGCAATTATTCTTCACTCTGCTTGAAGCAGACTTCATCTCCACCCACCCTTTCCTCTGCTCCTTTGTACATCCAAAGACTTGTTGGTCGAAAGGGAAATAAACTTGACTTCGCCCCTCACGTTCCTTCATGTGTCTTTGTTTTCCCTTGGTCTTTCTAGTCATCAGGTATATCTGCTTTTCTTGATTCTCTTTAAAATCTTCATCTTGGTGTTTTCTATGAGTTTTCAGTTTAAATTTTTCTTGGCTAAGCTTTCTTTTGGGGGCTTTCTCAAAGTCTAGCATCTGTCCAGAATTTACTCTCCCTGTTTTACTATGATTAATTCTTTGTTGGTCTTCTTATTTTCTTTGTTTCCTTTAAATTTAAAATGTATTGCGTCTCCTAACACTTTTTAGGGAGTTACTGAATCTATTTAGCTTCTGTCTGTCTATCTTTCTATCATCTACAAGCAACATTTTAAACTGCCAACTATGGAGATCACAAGGGAAAATTTGTTGTATCCCTTTTTAAAGTTGTAAATAACAACTTCAGTGAGACTTCAGCTCTGGCCAGGGAGAGGGCAAAAACCAGTATTACTGCCAGGGACAGTCTCACTCACTAGATTCTGGCTCGCTCCTTCCACCACCTGTTGGTCATAAGGACACATAAAATAGTCCCTTGGCGCATTAATACAGGGGATACAAATGGGTTTGTTTTCAACATGGGATCACTGCGCATGGGGGAGAAATTAGTGCCGGCTCCACTCCCTAATAACAGGGTTGCTGGGGGGGCCAACTTGAATAAAATATGGGGGGGGGCGGTAAGCCCTGCCCTACATAGTCACATGACACACCACACACAATTAAATGGCAATGGCCATCAACAGTTTTTTTGGGGGGGTTCCCGGCCCCCTAAAAATTTTGGGGGGTTATGGGCTTAAGAGGAGTTAGCTCCTAAGCCAGGGTATGTCTCATTCCTGGGTCCATGTCTTTGTTTGCTTGGCTATGTGTAGAATCTGCTGTGCCTTTTAAGGACATTTTGCCCAAGTATCGCACTGATCTGAACATTAAAGATTTTGGTAGACACTGCAGCCTGAGTTTGAATTCTTCTTTGAGTGACAGGCAGGAAACTCTCCTCCACGGTGTGCTTTTTTGGAGGTTCTCCTTGGGGGAGGGGCCCCAGGGCCCCCAAAATGCATAGCCTATCGCTTTAAGAAAATGCTAATAAATTTAAAGCTGTCTACCCCCCTCTCTATCTACAAGCAACATTTAAAATTGTCTACTATGGAGATCACAAGGGAAAATTTGTAGCATCTCGTTTTAAAGTTGTAAATCCCAACTTCAGCTCTGACCAGTGAGAGGGCTAAAACCAGTATTACTGCCAGGGACAGTCAGCGGCGGAGGAAGCCGCTTGGGCGCCTGGGGTGCAAGCTGCCCATAGGGGCAGGTGAGGGAGGGGCAAGGTGTCCATAGGGGCAGGGCGAGGGTGGGGCAAGCCATCCATGGGGCAGGGCGCACTGTGGGGCCTCCAGAGTCTGCCTGCCTCCTCCCACTCAGTCACCCTTCAGCTGGGGGGGGGGGGGGAGGCAGTGGGCAAAGTGTTTGGAAAGCGCAGAGCCTTGGGCTCACTGCAGGCTCTGTGGTGAGTGCTGCCTGGCATTTTGTCACCCCCCTCAGTGGGGACACCCAGGACGGCCCCACACCTACCGCACCACCCTTCCTCCGCCCCTGGTTGCAGGTGGAGTGGCCAGGGGTTCGGGGGGGAACTGCCCCCCTAATCAAGTAAATAAAAAAAATACTTAACTGAACAATTGTGTCGCAGGTAACTCAGTTCTGCCCCCCCCCCCCCGGTTGCTGTGTGTCCTCTTTTTCCAGGACACATCCTCTTTTTCAGGGGTAGCATTCTAAAAATTTGCCAAAATGTCTCTGGCTATACTTTCTGGATGAGTCCTAGACAAGACTGGTGATTGAAGACTTGCTTTCCCCAACTTTTCTCATCTTCTCTCCCCCTCCCCCCAGCAATATATCACAGCTTCTATAGCCTACATACAGTAGGTGTATTTAAAATGAGAATCTTCACGGCGTCCTCTTTTTTGCTCTTCAAAATATGGCAACCCTAATTCCCCCCCCCCAGAAAAAGAAATCCTGGATACACCTGGGGCAGGTGGTCATAACGGCAGTGCCAATTTGTTGATATAATCAATCAGGGGCACCGACTTATAAAAAATATTGGGGGGGCCCATACCGGGGTCCTGCCCCGGGAAGTTTTCTAAGTTCCAATGTCAGCGGCGCCCGGCAGAGCAGCCCTCTCGGCCACGGCAGCCCGGCTCTCCCAGCCCCCGGGGGCCGCCCTCCTCCCTCGCGCACCCGCAGTGTTCCCGCCCGGGGAGGCGGCGCCCCCAGGAGAGGCGGCGGCGGCAGCAGCAGCCGCGCGCGGCCCGGGCTCCCCTCGCCGGCCGCGGGAGCCAAGGCGCGCGACGAGGGCAGCCGAGGAAAGGAGCGCGCGGCCCGGTCCACCCTCGCCACTCACCCTTCTGCAGCGGCAGTTGTCATTGACTGCTCCTGTGTTTACATCCCACACGGAGGACGTTTCCGCTGCGCGCGCCCAATAATTTTCTTAAATTATTGGGGGGGCAGAGCCCCCCCAATAAAATTTTTGAGGGGGCTCGGGCCCCCTCAGGCCCCATGGAGTCGGCGCCTATGTAATCAATGAACAATTACCATGTACAGTACTTAGAAATTTCTCCTTTTTACCCTGCCCATTTATCATCACACTGCTGTGTTGATTCAAACTCCCAAATTGTGCCATGTCCCATACGTGGGTAAAACCAAGTTTGTAAAGTGAGGGCCTCCCCCCATTTCCCACCTGACAGCTATTTCCATTTTGGCAGTGGCTGTCAAAAAAGAGACATGGTCAAAGATAGAATATTGGGGTTGAGATCCCCCCCCCAATAACCAAAAAATGTGAGCCACATCTTTCACTATTTCCCTCGCATTTTGCTTGCCTTCTCTCCCCCGCTATTTGTAAGGCCTCGTTGGACAGCCACTTTGCTTTCTTGCATTTCCTTTTCATTGGGATGGTTTTCATTGCTGCCTCCTGTATAATGTTACGAGCCTCCATCCATAGTTCTTCAGGCACTCTGTCCACCAAATCTAAATCCTTAAACCTGTTCCTCACTTCCACTGTGTATTCATAAGGGATTTGATTTAGATTGTATCTTACCAGCCCAGTGGTTTTTCCTACTTTCTTCAGTTTAAGCTTGAATTTTGCTATAAGAAGCTGATGATCTGAGCCACAGTCAGCTCCAGGTCTTGTTTCTGCTGACTGTATAGAGCTTCTCCATCTTTGGCTGCAGAAAATATAGATGTATATCAAACCAGCGTACCACACTTTAATAAAGTATGAAAGGACACTTTCTATTGTGGCCAGGTAGAAGGAGATCAGTTTTTGTTTGGCCTTGTTCTTTTGCAGGACCCTGAGGAAATGGAGTCTCTGTTGGGCCTTCCTAACCACCTGGGTTGTATTGATTTTCAAAGTGAGGTCTTCACTAAGGTAAACTCCCAGGAATTTAAAGGAAGAGACTCTCTCCACACAACCCACCCTGAGATACAACGGGGCTGGTTCCCCTCTCTTCCTCCAAAAGTCCAACACCATCTCCTTTGTCTTGCTGATATTTAGGTGCAAGTTATTCTCTAGGCACCATGTGGAGACTTTTTTAACCTCCTCCCTATATGCTGATTCATCTCCACCTGTAATTAGACCCATTATGGTGGTATCATCTGCAAACTTAATAATTGCAGTGGATGGATCAGATGAAATACAATCATATGTATACAACGAGTACAGGTAGGGCCAGTGCTGAGCTTCAGAGAGGTAGATGTAACAGGCCCAATCCTCACTATTTGTGTGCGACCCCTCAGAAGGTCTTTAATCCAACCACAGATGGTAGGGGAAAGGTCCAGGTCCATCAGCTTTTTAATAAGAATGTCCAGAAGAATGGTATTAAAAGCCGAGCTATAATCAATAAACAGCATTCTGACATAATTCCCCGGTCTCTCCAGTTGACTCGGTGCAAGGAGAAAAGCTGTGGCTATGGCATCATCTGTTGACCTATTTCTCCTATTAGCGAACTGGTGTTCATCAAAATCCGGTGGAAAATGTGTCCTGAGGTGTTGAAGAAATATCTGGTATTTCTCTAATAGCAAACTACCAAGAATTGTAAATAATATTTAGTACACTAACCTTTGTCTAACTCTTGGTAAATGTCAGCTTGCTGACTTATTTTGTGCCATTGTGGTTCAATGTTATATTTGCGCTCAGTACTTTGTAGGATTTGATAATCTTTATAGGTCTTTTAAATTTCTAATCTACCTATCTATCTATATCTCTCTATCCCTCTATCTCTCCATCAATATTATCTATCCCCTCCCCCCTTTTCCCTTTCCCTTTC